CGGGGCCTGCAGCGGCCCGCCGACCCCGCGAGGCGGCGGAGCGGGCCCCCGAGGGGCTCAGCCTCGGGCTCGACGGCTAGGGGCCGTCGCCGGTGGCTCCTCGGCTACTTACCGGGGGGGAAGAGAGCCGGGATCCCGGGGCCCCGGGCCGGACCGCGGAGATGCCCCAAACTGACACGGCCGCCATCTTGGAGACAGTGAGCTCCGGCCGGGGGGAGGGGAGGCGAGGCGGCGGAACAGCCGCGGGGGGAGGGGAAGCGTCGCGAGGGAACGGCTGCCTGGGGGAGGGAGAGGGAACAGCCTGGGAGGGAGGCGAGGGGGAGGGAGAAGGGGAGGCACGAAGGGGGGCCGGCGAGGAGCGGGAAGAGCTGCGCCGAGAGCCGGGAAAGGCCGGAGGGCGGGGCGGGACAGGAGAGAAGAGCCGGCCGGGCAGGTCACGTGGGGCCGGTACAAAAGGCCAAAGCCAAAGTGGGAGGAGGACCTGATAGGCCCCAGGCCAACAACTGGGGGTTCCTTCTCTTCTTTCTCACGCTGTTCGGTCAGGCGGATAGCGGGAGGAGGAGATGGTGTATCCCCATTACACAGCTGGGGAAGCTGAGGACAGGCGCATGGGTGGGGTGGCTTCAGTATGGCACGGAAATCCGGTGGCCAGACGATCTGAACTCCTGATGATGTCTGTTTACAGTTAGCAGATCCTCCCTCCCCACTTCTGTGCCCTCACCCCCCTTCCACAGTGACTCTCCTGGAACCCGAGGTCGAGAGCTGGGGGAGTGGGGAGGGGACAAAGGGCGGGAGGAAGTTGCCTCCCTTTATTATTCCCTTTTTGCTCTCACTAGCACCCCACATATCTCACCCTACTGTAGGAAAGAGTAGGTGCAGTGAGGAGGGGAGAAAGGGTGGAAACTTAGACACCCATAGCAAGCCCTTTCACCACAATGACTTCATCCTCCCCACAACGGAGAGTCTTGTTGGACCTTACCAAGCCATTTGTATAGGAAACAGCAAAGACTTGGGTCCGGTGACTTGCACAAGGTCACACAGCTCTTGTGTGGCACACATCTTGAGTTTGAAGCCTTGATCTCTTTTGTTCCACTGTCTGTCTTCTACCCATGCCCTATGCAGAATTGCTTTTTTCCGAATTGATAGCTGAACCATGAACTGGCACTTCTCATGGCCTGTTTTCTACTGGCGACATGTATGTTTCTTTGTCTTGTCTCTCGTCTAGTTTAATCTCCTTAAGGCAGAGATTGAGTCATACTTTTTTTTTCCTGCAGTAAGTGACAAACGAATAGACATATTAAATGCTTAATTTTTAGTGGAAGTGTTTTCCTGCTACTGGACTTTTTTTTTTTTTTTTAAGATTTTATTTATTTATTTGAGAGAGAGAATGAGAGAGAGAGAGCATGAGAGGGGGGAGGGTCAGAGGGAGAAGCAGACTCCCTGCCCAGCAGGAAGCCCAATGCGGGACTCAATCTTGGGACTCCAGGATCATAACCTGAGCTGAAGGCAGTCGCTTAACCAACTGAGCCACCCAGGCGCCCTCCTGCTACTGGACCTTTAACTGCTTTGTGCCCCGCCCCCATGTAGACTGTCCTCCCTAGCACCTCCTAATTTCATCTCAGCTTTACCTTTTAAAGACCACCCCTTCACTCACTGTCTTAACTTTGATTTGTATTTTCTTTCTGAACTTTCGTAATATTGACCATTTGCCTTATTCCTTTGGCACTTGATATGTTGCTCTTGTATACATTTTATGAATATATTCCCAGACATATGCTCTTTGGGAATGCCTCTGTATCTCCAGTGGCATAGGATTGTACAAGCAGTACAGACTCAAAAAAAAAAAAAAAAATGTTCCTACTGAGTGAACATTTCTTCAGTCACTAAGAAAAAGATGGAATTTTTATCCCCAAAACCAGCCCTGCCTCATTTATCTCTTTAGCTTTCATCCGTTCTAATCCTTAGCCTTATTGTTCTATACCACAGGCCGTCTAGATCATTCAGTAATAACATAGGAATTTATATCTTCAGATGATAGTCCAGCCAACTCTATATTCTAGTACTGACACTGATAACATAAGTGTGGTGTGGTGAGATTTACTGAATCACTCTTCATCACTTACTTCCAAGCCACATCCCCAAATGAGGGAAATTTGGGAATACAAAATAATGTGTTAGAAAGGATATTTTCCATCCTAGATGAATTAGACAGATGAAGTCTTAGGTAAAATGGGAGCTCTTTGTAATGGAAATCATCCAGAAGGAAAAAAAAATGTGGTGGGAGAGTGGGGATTCTCTTAGAAGAATAAAATAAGGTTTTATTTCCCAAAAAGGACAGATGAAGTCATATTAATAGAAAATGAGTTCTTCGTATGAGACTAGTATGTGGTCTTCACAAGAAAAATAATGCAGAGATGAGTCGTGTTTGCTTTTTGATAATTTGGAAGAAAACTAACCAAAGCCATTCCTGTGAAAAGAACAAGCTGGAGTTTAAGCACATAGTAGCAAGAATTTAAAACAATTTACAACTGGGGCGCCTGGGTGGCTCAGTCGTTAAGCATCTGCCTTCGGCTCAGGTCATGATTCCGGGGTCCTGGGATTGAGCCCCACATCGAGCTCCCTGCTTGGCGGGAAGCCTTCTTCTCCCTCTCCCACTCCCCCTGCTTGTGTTCCCTCTCTTGCTGTGTCTCTCTCTGTCAAATAAATAAAATCTTTAAAAATAAATAAATAAATAAAACAATTTACAACAACAAAGCACAGTTTAGCTTTTCAAACAACTTCCATAGAGAGTCTTTGCTTTACATTTGCATATTTAATGGCACATTCCAGAGGTCATCTCAAAATAAAAGGTTTGCCACAAGATCAAAGCCCTCA